GCTGAAATTCTATCAAAAGACTTCTAAATAAGTATGTGTACTCAAAAAATATGTTTAAGCTGGACATTCACAAACTTTCGTTGATAACTGAAAATATCTTGTTTAAAATTATGCACTGTTTTCCATTATCTGAAACTATCGAACTTTAGGAAATTATCACACAATCCGTCATTCCCATCACCAAAAATTCTCATTATTGGAAACTTAAAGCTCTACATAATTGACATAATCCATTTTTTCCTCTTATTTGTCGTAAATGCTGAGTTTTGATTGAATTATTAGAGATACTTTCACTTTGGTTTTTCAACAACTTTTTCACTTCCACTTCTTCGAGATTGTTTGCATTAAAAGATATCCCTCAATGTTTTCCACATCCTCTCTTTCAAATTCTCATGGTTCTTCTCTAGTCTTCAAACTTCTATTCCAGTTGCTGGCTTCTCAAAACTCGCCATCAAATCCAGTACATATTCCATGTGTATACTTTGAAATGATGAAATATATGGGAAATAACCGATACTTTCAGTTCATTATGTATTTGTTCATAACTCCCGCTTTTATCTTCCCTTGTACTTTTCTTCGTCTTTTATATTTTTATTTGCACTGTACGCAAATTTCTTAAGTTGTCTTTGGAGATCCACATTGTGACAACAAAAACAAGAACCAAATTATACCAAAGTAAAAGTATACCAAAAAACCGTTTCATTCTAGCAAGCTTTATGGTGTGCATTACTACATTTTTAAAGAAATTTAACATGTCCATATCAATTTTATGGGAAAATGCGATAAGAAATTCCGGAAGTCAAGTATCCTTCCATATGCAACACATAAGTTGTTTATCCCTAGCAATTCATTTCTACTTATCCCGTCTTACACAAATAAAAGCCAAACACATGTGATTTTTTAAAAAGAAACTCAACAATTGCCTTGTTCGCGGTTTTCTCGAATGCATTGAAATTTCCTTTCATTACCATTTGCTTCTTTCTAATAGAACTTGACTACAGAACGTCCACAAATC